TCTAAAACCCATTATCTCTCCCCGTCTTCTCTCTCCTCTGGGTCTCTGCTAACATACCGCAAGCTACTGGACAGAACCCCTGGAGAGCAAGGCTCTTGCATTTCCCTTCCTGACTGTTGTTGACCAAGCCCCCTGCTGACTGTTGAGCTGAACTGACCCTTGAGGATCAGATTCAGCGGGAAATGAGAATGTGGTTTGTAAAGTGGGGGACGGTTGTTGGCTAGTGTCCCTGTGTCTCCGTGTGGCGTTGGTTAGAATCCAGATTCCTGGGCCCTGCCTGGTGGATATATATGATTCTCTGGGTTCACGGTGGGGCCTGGGAATCTGTATTCATCCAGCAGCCCAGATATGCCTGATGCAGATGCATTGCAGCCCTCCTGATGGCGGGGGTGGTACCCAAGGTTGGAGCTAGAACCTGATCCCTTCAGTTCCTTACGGCCAGGGGGTCTCCAGTAAGGCCACAGACAGCTCTTCAGAGGAAGGCACAGCCCCCGCTGGCCTGAAGAGCTGCTGTCCACAGGGAGGGCAGGAATGGGCTGGTCCCCAGGGCCCTCGGGTTGGCTCAGGACAAGCCTTCCTGGGCCCAGGTGACTCAAACTGTGACAACTGACCTGGAGCAATCAGGGTGGCTTCCAGGAGATGGTGGTTCTTGGGGAAGGGATATGCTGAGTGGAAGGAACCTGCGTGGGCAAAGGGTGGGAAGTGAGACCCTGCCGGGCATTCAGGAGGCCAGGGTGGGTGGACATAGTGCGGGGGCCCTGGAATTTCTGAGACAGAACAAGCAACGCCCTGTAAGATGATGGGCTGATTTTCTGAAATTGGAGCTCATTGGCTTGTGAGGCTACTGGGTGCTGAGGGGAAAACAGGCCAGGAGACCAGTGTGGGGCCAGGACAGAGACCCACTGCCTCAGGAAGGGTCCCCATCAAGGGGCCAGGCCACTCACGAGGCAGGCCAAAGGGAGGTGGTATAGCCTGTGAGTAAGGACAGACCATGGGGCCAGCTGCCGCTTAATGGCTGTGTGACCATGGCCAAGCCATTTGAACCCTCTGTGCCTTGGTTTCCCCATCTGTAAAATGGGATAATGATATTGCTGGGAGGAATAACTCAGAGATGGGCTGTGTAGTTCTGTAGAGACACAGTTTACCCATCTGAGCAAGAGTCAGTAGGGTGAGGCCAGGAAAAAAGACATGAATGGGTTTGTGAGGAAAGGAGAGAAAGGGGAGGGAAAAATCCAGATGGTCCATGGACAGTGACTCATTTGCATATTACCAGGAGTGGGTGGGATTGACTTGATCGCTGGCGGCTGGTGGGAGGGAGCCCTTAGAAGGACAAGGAGGGCCGTCGAAGGAGATGTGTCTGTCTTCATGCCTTCTCCGGGAAGCCGGGGAAGGGTCAGCTGTGGCAGTCACACGACAGGCTGTCTGTCCATCTCACCCCTCTGGAGTTTGGCCAGGTTCCACTTCCTCATTAGAATGTCTCACCAGCTACTTCACAGGCTCCTTGGAAAGATTAAATGCAAAAAAGTGCTGACAGCGGGGTCAGGCAGTCTGCAGACAGAGAAGGTTGTCCGTGTACATGCCGGCTGCCAGGGCCGCTGTTGACAGCATCACGAAGGGTGGGCGGGGATGAGACTGCCGACAGGGCACCTGTTTGTAGGTGGGCAGGGGCTGCCGAGTTGAATTTGAGGCCTGTGAGTGTGATGAACCCAGAGACTGGCTGGGGTGACTGCAGAAGAAGCCGAGCGAAGGGGGTCAAGATGGGTGTGTGGGGCCAGAGCCGGTCCTCCAACCTGGGAAGTGTTTCTGCAGCTGTGTGAGAGATGGACGCCCTGACCTGCCCCCAGGATGGTCCCAGCTTGATTCAATTGCAGCCAAAGCTTTACAGCATGGACTCTCACTGTCCCAGCCGCCAGGAAGGTGAAATGATGTGCCCATTTTGCAGACGCTCAGAGAAGTAAAGCAAGAGACTTTCCAGCCACCGTGCCCTTCCCATGTCAGTCTTCCGCTCCCAGGGGGCTTAGTGAGCGGCCTCTGCCCCCCCACAAGGGTTTGTCCAGTGCATCTGGATCTGGGGAGCGCTGAGGGGGGGGGCAGAAGACCGAAGCACCTTCTGCAGGCGGCACCCTGAGCCTCAGTAGTGGGGTCACCAGCCTCCAGGCTCTATTTTGGGGGTAGTAATCCCAAGGGTTGGGACAGTTTCCAGATGAAACGGGCACCACTTTCTGCTGGCCTCCAAGTCCTCTGGGTTCTGGTAGGACACACGGCTTCTCTAGAGGAAAATAGGGGTGTGCTTGAGGGTCTTATGGCTGTAACTCTTGCACTCCTCTCACTCCTCCCCACAGGATGGGCCTCTTGGAACCCCTGGCATACAAGGAAAAGCAGGCTGGAGTTCCAAGGTCATCAGGGAACATGGAAGCTGTTTGCATGGTCCAAGGAGATGGTCTTGCTTGATTCTCAGAAGCACAAGTGCTACCCAGGTCCTTGGGGAGGTACTGAGATGGTTGGGGCGGGGGGATGAGGCCTATCAGGGGTGACACCTGTGAAAGACAAAGGCAGGAAGCAGGACCCGGCAGGGATCCAGCCTTGGTCAACCAGGAGCCAAGACACCCATCGGAGGGGTCCCATCCCTGCACTCTCTGACTGGAAGCCATCAGCTAACTACACGCCCTGGAAGTTGTTTCTTGAACGGCAACCCCTGGGACATCTCCAAGGTCACCAGGTTCGTTGGCACCATAATTGCACACGTCAGGAAGCCCAACCCATTTTTCCTTCCAAGTGGGGAGATCAGAGTTGTGACTGGAAAGTAAACTCAGTTGAATTTGCTTGGTGCGAGTGATGCGACCCCAGCACATGTGCATGTCCGCACAAAGCCCCAGCGCTGTGTTTGCGCCCCGTTTGTTCTCCCCAAGCAGCCGAGGCCTCAAGGTTCTTTCTCTGGGTGACATGAACTTGCCCCTTGGCCCTGCCTTCCTGCCTCACCGCCCCCACTCCTTGTCAGAGACCATCCTCCATCAAGGCCGGAGCCCCTGCAAAGACACCAAGCGTGCATGCTCAGTCACTTCCATCGTGTCCGACTCTTTGCTACCCCATGGACTGTAGCCCGCCAGGCTCCTCTGTCCATGGGATTCTCCAGGCAGGAATACTGGAGTGGGTTGCCATTTCCTTTTCCATGGGATCTTCCCGACCCAGGGATCGAACCCAGGTCTCCTGCATTGCAGGTGAACTCTTTACCCCTGAGCCACTAGGGAAGCCCATTGCAAAGACACCAGCACTCCACTACTCAAAAGAGGACACTATCCTAAGGCTGCCGAATGCCCTCCTCGTTTACAATCTGGGGTCCCAGAGGCCCCTCCAAGGACACGGGCCAGATGGGGAGAAGATGTAACCTGGTCAAGGCCTGCTTTGCAGAGGCAGCATGGGCCCTTCTCCAGGGATACAATGGGCTCTGGGGGTCTGTGAGTGTTGAGGGCTGGCATACAGGGTGGCATGGGAGCATCAAATATTCAGATTGCTGGGGCTTTCTTTGGAATCACCCCCAGACCAAGTCCCAGCGTGGGGCCTGGCCCTCTGCATTGATTTCCTAGCTCCTAGGTGGAGCTGGTGCACTCTGAAGCTGTCTGTGGGGAAGGGGGTGCTAGCATAGGCTCTGACCCTTCCGAGTGTCTCCCTGACCCCTGTGAGCAGCCGGGAGGGACCATGGGCCTGTGAATACCACCCCCTCCTGGGGCATCCGAAGGTCTTGGAAGCACGGAAGAGGGAACCTCTTTGAGTTTGCACATTTTATTAAGATAATCAGTTGTTTCTTAAGTTATTTCTTTGTTAATCAGAAAGCATCTTTGTGGAGAGACCACACACAGTCTGTGTAGTTATATAAAAATACGTCAATCACCTTGCCTCTCCTGAATGTGAGCTCCAAGTTGCCCTTCTCCCCAGCAAGGGAACTAAAGCCCCATCTTAGGGGGGAAGCCAGGGGAATGTCGGGGTAGCCCCCACCTAAGGGTCCAGTCTGAGGGCATCTCTGTGGCCACGTTGGGGGGCTTTTGGGTCACTGGTGCCGAGCAGCCCCAGGTCGTGGCCCCGGCCCCCACGTGTCCTGGCTCTTCCCAAGGAGCACGGCGGTCTCACGTCTTCCTCCCTGACCTTGCATGTGTGCCGTGAGCCCTACAGCACCGGCCATTGCTGAGTCATCACAGTAGGAGGGGTAGGCCTGAGCGAGAGCAGCCGGGCCCCACAGAATCTCTTTAAGCTGACGGCTGGCAGGTGGTGGTGGTCATTTCCAAGAGCTTAGACGCCTCCCCTTGGCACCTGGCTCCAGGGCTCTGATGTTCCCGAGTCCTGGTCCTAAAGGCGTCGGCGGACAGAGGTTAGCAGGCTGCCCTGTGGGTGAGGCTCTGGACACGCGCTGAAAGGCTGCGGTGCAGACAGGCTGGGCCCTCCATCCTCTGCCCTGGGGCATGGGCAACCAGGACAGTGTGGGCAGGGCTCCTCCTGGCGGCTCCCCAGACACAGCCCACTCTGGCCCTGGCATCGGCGTCCAGCTTTCACCCAGTCTCCTGGCCCACCATCCGCTGGAGGTTGCCGGGCTACGGCTCTGGGCATTAAGCTGCATGCATTTGAAAGGCTCGTTTTGGAAACAGCCTCCTCCAGGGCAGCTGGGTGTCTGAATGGCCCCCTTCTTCACTCCCGTGCGGCCAAGGCTGGGATGCCTCCATTCTGCCGATGCTCGGGGTGTCCCCACCTCAGGGGCAGCCAAGGACACGTGCCTTCTTCTCTCCATCGCAGCCTATCCACCTTCCCCCACCCCCTGCTCCTCCGAGAGCCAGGCCCAAGCTGCCTCCCCACATAGGTGTTGATAAAATAGATGTGTTTATTGGGTGAGCCCCAGCGGCCGGGGTAAGACACACCCCAGGGTCCCTCCCAATAGCAGAGTCCATCCTCCAGCCGCCCCAGGTATGGCCCTGGTTCGCCGCGACGCCGCCGCCACCGGGCCGGGCTGCGGGTCAGAGGGGCGCGGGCCCCAAGAGGCCGGGCCCGGGGCGCGGGCACAGCTGCAGCTGCACGCTGGCTGTGAACCAGCAGCGGGGCCGGCCCAGGCTGAGGTGCAGGGTGGTGCGGAAGGAGTTGCTGGCACACTTGGGGAAGATGATGGTGGTGCTGCGGAAGCGCAGGGCGCGGGGTCGCGGCTCCAGGGTCAGCTGGCTACGGTAGTTCCGCCAAGTGCAGTTGGGCGTGGCCACAATCGTCTCACTGTAGGCCGTGACCGTCGGCACCGGCACATAGAAGACCTTGTCCCGGAAGTGCTTCTCCGATGCATACTTGACCTCAGAATTGCAGCTGGTGGAAGGGAGGATAGGGGTGAGCTCAGGGCCGGGCAGTCAGGTCACGATCAGAGGGCAAGGTGAACATGGAGCAGCCTGGAGGCTGCTTGCAAAATGTCAAGGTCAAAAGGACAAAGAAGGGACCCTGCCGACTCAGAGGAGACTCAAGAAACTGAACAACTATATTTCACACGTGCCCCTGGTCTGGGATTAAAAATAGGCCATAAAAGGACATTTGGGGACAATGGGCGGAATTGGACTAGGCAGTGGTCGTGTTTTTGGCTTTAGCTGATCCAGTTTTGGCAAGCAGACCGTCATTATGTGAGAGGATGTCCCTGTTCTCAGGAAGGACACCGGCTGGAGTTATTTAGAGGTTCGAGGTCAGGATGTCGTCATCCTCCTCTCAAACAGGTCAGAAAAAATGTTTTGTTTATGTAGAATGAGTGAGAGCGTGTGGATATTCAAGCCAACGGGGCAATATGGAAACAGCAAGGAATCAGTTCAACCGGGGTCCCCTATACTCTTCCTGCAACTTTCTTTACGTTTGAAATTTATCAAAATAAGTTCCCCCAGAGTAGCATTGGCTCCTCTAGATGAGTGAGCCCCTTGCGCTGCCCTGGGCTTAGTCACCGGGTCGTGTCTGGCTCTTTGCAACCCCATGGACTGTAGCCCGCCAGGGTCCTCTGTCCGTGGGATTCTCCAGGCAGGAACACTGGAGTGGGTTGCCATGCCCTCCTCCAGCGGTGACCCCCTTATGAGTGGCCAACTGCTTAGCATCCCCCAGCTCTGCTCCCAGATCATCACACTGGAAGGTGAAGTTGTGGGGAGCGGGGGCTTCACCTGTCTCCTTCCCCACCAGATCCCACAGGTAATCCATGGGGAGAGGGAAGCAGACTCCCAAGAGCCCAGGCAGCCTGAAACCACCCTGGCTGGGGCCTCTGATAATAAAAACTAAAAAGGAGGACTTTTCGGGCAGAAAATTCTTTAAAGTGGACCCGTTTGTCTCCTGCTATCATATGCAGAGCTGGAGGAGCAGGAGGCAGTGGGTCCCACACCCCTGGCCAGGCTAGAGTGATGTGAACAAATCCATCTGAGCATCCCAAGGATACGGGGGCCAAACCCACGGACCCTAGACTCCACCTTCTGGAAGCCTGAGCCCCAGAAGCCCTCTCAGGAGGGCAGATGGCTGGAGAAAAGCACCTGAGGGGGTAGGATTGTTGTTCAGTCGTGTCCGACTCTTTGTGACCCTATGGACTGCAGCATGCCAGGCTTCCCTGTCCTTCACTATCTCCCAGAGTTTGCTCAAATTCATGTCCATCGAGTCGGTGATGCCATCCAACCATCTCATCCTCTGTTGCCCCCTTCTCCTGCTCTCAGTCTTTCCCAGCATCAAGGCCTTTGGTCACCTTAACTCAGAATCGGTGCAGGTGCCACTTGAGACACCCTGTGCATGGGAGGGCACCTAACACACTTCAGGGCAACGGCTCCTTGGGGGATAAAGGGGCAAATTTAAAATAACAATCAGCCAGGTTGGGGGTGAAGTCAGTGTGGAAACGGCCAAATGGGGGCTTGGGATGGGGAGATGGAGTGTGTGGACAGCAAAGGCCACAGAGTCTCTCCAAATCACAGCCATGCCTCCTCAGGGAGAATCACCCAGAAGGGCTGCCTAGAGCAAGGGGACCCTGCCGAGACCCCCAGCCTGGCCCCCCACCCATCCCACCCCACCTCTACCCCACCCCTACCCAGCCCAGCAGCCCCACTCACCGGATCTCTGGTGTGGGTTCTGGGTTCACCTCAATGCTCTCCCCAAAGAACACAGGCAGCAGCCGGGGCCTCATCTCTCGCGCCGGGGTGCTCGGGGGGTGGGTGGGGGGCTGTGGGGATAGCCAGGGACACAGGGTCGCGTGAGCAGCCCTTCGGCACTACGGCCTCAGCTCCCCGCTGGACACAAGAGGAGCTCCCCACACCCTTCCAGTCCTGGCTTTTCTGGAAGCCTGCTTCTGCGGGGTCCATCAGGAAGCCAACCCCAGCATCCCTCTGTGGAATCTAAGCACTCTGATGCCCACTCACCCACCGGCCTGCCCCCCTAACCACCCAGTTCTTAGGCGTCACTATAAGGGGACATGGTCCTGGTCTCTTTCTACAGCACCCAGCCCACCTGAGCCCCAAGAGCCAGGCTGAGAACCAGAACAGAGAACCCTCAGTTCTCTGGCTCAGTTCTCAGCCAGAACTGAGAACCCTCTCAAGGAGCCCCTGAGCCCAAGCTTCACGAGCTGCCCCCCGGGGGTGACATGGCAGGACAGAGCTCTGTGATGGGCTGAAAACCACACTCATCAAGGCAAGAGTTCCCAGCCCTTCTTGGTGCATGGCTGTGGGTCCCTCATTCAAATCCTTCACAAGGTCCTCTTTGACCTCACCTGGATGAGGGATCACAGTAGTGGACACTCTTCAAGCGCGAACTGCACCAGGCACTGCTCTGAGCACCCCCATGTATCTATTCATTCACTCATGGGACAGAGCTGTTACCAGCACCCCCGTTATATAGATGCTAAAACTGAAGCCCAGAGTGGACAAGTAACTTGCCTGAGGCCACACAGCTAGGAAGGGGCAGAGCTGGTGGGTTAGCTGCAGAGCCTGCGCCCTCGCCCGCGTTCCCCCACTGCCTCTCACACCCACAAGACTGGCACTGTAGCCCCAAGACCTGACCTGTCACCCCGGGCTCAGAGCAAGCTTGCTCTCATGCACAGGATCACAGAGCCTCCCATCCAGGCCCACATTCCGCGAGCCTTGGCCACGCCCCAGGCTGCCTCTGCACCTTGGCTTATGCTGTTCTCAGTACTAGGAATGTCCTTTTCTTTCTCTCTCACTTGGTCTAAGGCGGCAACTCAGAAACCAGCTTCCTGTCTTCCTGACCATCCTCTGTGGAGTCCCTGGAGCTCCCATCTGCTGGTCTCCATTGCTGCGACTCCTTTGTGTGTCTGTCACCCCCAGACTATGAGCTCCTTAAGATTCAGGACCAGAGGACCACTCTATCCCCAGTGCCTGGCACCTTTCAGACCCCGTGCTCTCCAAAGGCATGACCTCACATGAGCAAAGCAGCACACTGCTCCCCCACGCACTTGTGAGCCCCTGAGCCAGCCCCATGCCCATCTTTTAATCTGCTATCTGCCTATGAATACCGAAGTCGCCTCCTCAGCTGATCACAGTGTCTCCAGAACACAGGCCAGTGAAGAACCACAGGAAGAAAATACCCAAGACTTGGACAAACAAGGGGTTCCCCACAGGCCCCCAGCAGCTGTCCTCAGGGTAGCCCCACCTCTCCTTTGCTGGGCATGGCAGGCAGAATAATGTCTCCCAAAATGTGAGGTTCTAATGCCCAGTTCCCAGGAATGTGCAACCTTACAGGGCAAAAGGGACTTTGTAGGTGTGATTCAGGATCTTGAGATGGGAAGACTGTCATGGAGTATCCAGTGCCCACCCCACCTCCCCATCATCACAATGGTCCTTATAAGGGAAAGAGGGAGGGAGCGGGTCAGAGTCAGAAAGATTGAAGATATTACCCTACTGTCTTAAGGACGGATGACGGGACCACCAGCCAAGGAATGTGGGCAGCCCCTAGAAGGTGGGAAAGGCAAGGATTCTCCCCTAGAGCATTTGGAAAGGATGCATGGGTGTGTGCTCAGGCGCTTCAGTTGTGTCCGACTCTATGCGACCCTATAGACTGTAGCCTGCCAGACTCCTCTGTCCACGGGGATTCTCCAAGCAAGGATGCTAGAGTGGGTTGCCATGCCCTCCTCCATGGGATCTTCCCAACCCAGGGATTGAATCTGCATCTCTTATGTCTCCTGCTTTGGCAAGCGGGTTCTTTACCACTAGAGCCAGCTGGGAAGGCCCCAGAAAGGATGCCTTGCCCAAATCCTTGCTTTTATTAATAGCCTGTGAGACCCATTTTAGACGGCTGACCTTTGGAACTGTAAGGTATTCTTTACATTTATTTTTATTTTACTTATTTATTTTTAGCTGTGCTGGGTCTTTCTCACAGCACACGTGCTCTTCGTTGAGGCGCTCAGCCTTCTCTAGCTGTGGTGCGTGGGCTTGGTTGCCTGATGGCATGTGGGATCTCAGTTCCCTGACCAAGGGTAGAATCCACGTCCCCTGCATTGGTAGGTGGATTCTTAATCACTGCATCACCAGGGAAGTCCCTGGAACTGTAAGGTATTGGGTCCGAGTTGTTTTAAGCCACTACGTGTGTAGCCATTTGTTAGAGCAGCGATAGGGGCTAATACATCACGTGACCTGGCAAGCACCTCCCCATTGGGGGTTGCAGCTTCCTGGTCCCCGAAGTGGGGTGACAGGAGCACCTGCCTCACAGGCCATAGTGAGGACTGAAGGATTCAAAGTGTGTAAATGAGTGGGACTGTGTCTACTGAGGAAGCTCTGTGTAAGAGTGGGCTTGTGTTCTGAATGCTTTTCATAAAGGGTCAAGAGGCAGGGGTGGGGGTCCCTCTCCAGAGAGAGGTACAATCCACACCCCCTTTTTAAGCTTGGGACAACCCTGCTCTGACCTGCCAGAAGCAAGCATGCATCATTCAGGAGATTTAAGTTCAAAAATAAAATAGTGATGGGAATTCCCAGGTGGTGCAATGGTTAAGATTCCACACTCACTGCTGAGGGCCCCGGTTCAATCCCCGGTCGGGGGACTAAGATCCCACAAGCTACGCAGCACAGTCAAAATTTTAAAGAAAGAAAATAATTTTTAAAAGTGACAAGATTTTGGAACTTCTGGTGTTCTCCATGGCTCTGTGAACTCAACACTGACCTCAGCTATAAAACTCCACGACTTGATGTCCTCAGCTATAAAACTCCATGACCATACTCTCTCCCTGCAAGACTCTCTGAAGTATGAAAGTGAACATGTTAGTCACTCAGTCGTTTCTGACTCTTTGCGACGCTATGGACTGTAGCCCGCCAGGCTCCTCTGTGCATGGGATTCTCCAGGCAAGAATACTGGAGTGGTGTGAGCCATTCCCTATCTGAAGTATGGCACTCCCCCAAATGTGTGCAGTGGTTTGCTGAGCACCTACTGTGTGCTGAACACCTACTGTGTGCTGAACACCTACTGCGTGCCAGATCCTGTGTGGGTTGGATGAGTCACAGTGCCCCCCAGGATTCGTCTTGTGTACACAGAAGAGGAGAGAGGATGACGCAGGCATGCACGGGGCTGCGGGTGTGGGTGCTAAGGTTTTCGGTGGCGTCTCTAGGTGGAAGGGTAGAGGAAGGAAGGGGTAGCCTGCTACTGGTTTTCATCACCCACCCCCCGCCCCCAACCATGAAAGAACAGTTCCCAAGCTCAGAAGCAGGGAGGCCTTCTTTGGGAGGTAATGAAGAACCGGGTACCACCATCCCTCTCAGCTTCACTCAAGCCTCCTGATGAGAGCTGAGTGCGTGTTTGGGGCCCTATTCTGGCCAGATTTCACTCCCTGACTGGCTGCCAGCAGAAGGGACTAGGCTGACTTCACAGGCTGGGCCAGGAAGCTGACGCTCTGGGCATCATGTCCCAAGGGCCCTGGTGAAAAACAGCTAAAATCCATCCCACCCCATACAAGAGCAGGGGGAAGCCACTGAAAACCCAGACGGAGGCTGGCATCCAGGGACCTGGGCCACAGGACAGCTGAAGGCCACCCTCGCCGGGCTCCTCAAAGCTCCTGCCTGGCCCCGGAAGCTCGGGCCTGTCTTACAGCCACAACGGCGGGCCAGGAAGGCAAGCTGCCGACCCTGCAAAAGCAGCTCACCACCCCCCCATCCCCCAGCCACTCCCATGGGAGCCACCAGGGTGAGGGCGGGCTGCGGAGGGGGCTGCGGCTCATGGGCTCACAGGACCTCTTCTGCTGCTGCACCTGCTCGCCTGGCCCAGGCCATGTGGAACGAACACTCCTAGGCACCCTGCTCCCCTCACCACTCCCCAACCCCGGGGGCAGCCACAGGCCAGCTTTTCCCCCCAAAGGCCCAGGTGCTTACTCCACTCTGAAGAGGACCCACCAAGAGACCCCTGTGCCCAGGGAACCTGCTCACTGTGCCTTAGTTTGCCCATCTGTACAATGGGATTGTGCCCTTTGTGAGGCCCACAGTCCGGGGTGCCTAGGTACAGGCTGGCTAGTTTCCTTGGGGCCCCTTGAAGCCCTGGGGGGCAGGGCCAGAGGAAAAGCAGCTGTGCCTCCAGGGCAGAGGAGCAGAAAGGCTGAAGCCTGGATCCCTATCTCCCAAACACCACGCCCTCCACCCTAGGATGGTAACAGAATTGGACCAGCCCCCAACTCCTTCTGGGGACCAGAAGGGCCCCGTTCTAGCCTGGGGAGGGGGCTGGCCTGGCTCCCTGGTCTCCTGGGCATTCAGGGCGTCTGTGTGGGGACCAGGGAGGACTTCAGAGAAAGCAGGACCCAGAGAGCAGTGGGCCGCGGCTGCCCTCTGCCCGCCAGGCCCCACCCGCCTCGCCCAGTGATTCATGTGCGAGGATAAATACTGGGAGTAAAAATACACATGGGCGTCTGGAGCAGTCCGCGTCTCTGGCTGCTGTACACAGCGCGGCCCACAGGACGCCAACGAAAGATAAGCGCTGCTGGGCTGTGAGAGCTCTGTGCCGTGTGCTGACAGCCCAGCCCGGCCGGGGGGCCCAGCCTGGCTGGCAGGGACAGCCAGGGACAGCACAGGGACCTTGTCCCCAGCCTGGGGCACCCAGGGCGGTCCCCCACCTGCCCACTGCATGGAACGTGGCTAGAGCCACGTGTGCCCCACGAAACTTTCTGCTCAGTCAGGGGGTATGAAGCCCCCATCAGTGGAGAGTGAGTGGCAGGAGGAAGGATCCAGGGAGACCCCA